TTTGTTTTGGGATATGTGTTTGGTATTTTTTGGTTTTGAGACAGGTGCTATGCAGTTCAGGCTGGCCTTGTACTCACTGTGTAGCCCAGGGTGACCTCGAACTAGTGGCAATCCTCTTGCCTCAGCCTCCCAAGAGCTGGGATTACAGGCATGCACCACCACGCTGGGCTCATGGTCCTAACAGTATAGCCCATACTGGCCTCCAACTCTAGATCTTCCTGCCTCAGCCACCTGAGTGCTGGGATTACAGACATGTGCCCCACACCCTGCTCAATGGAAGGTTTTGTTTCGTTACTGTAAACTTAGGCACGCAGCTGGTTAATATACAGAGAGTACCTCGTTCATTCCTCAGCATTGCTGAGTGGTGTCAGTGTCCTGAATTGGGTCAGCAGACTTCTTCTGTGAGGACCAATAGTGAGTATTTTAAACTGTCCGTGATGCAACCATGCAACCCTCAGTTTAGCTTGAAAGCAGCATGGGCATCCTATCAGTGTGTGGGGACGGCAGTGTTCCAGTAAAAGTTCATTTAGAAAATGAGCAGATTCGGCCACAGGGCCGTGGCTTGCTGACTTTTCCACTAGATGAGAAATAGCCTATATGGGTTTCCTTTGCATTTTAAAACAGTAGTCTTATTTAGAAAACCATCATGTAATGGTTAAAATATTTTTAGTGTTTAAAAAACAGCTCTCTGGAAAATTCTGTCACGTTGGATATCATAGACGTTACTAGTGAATGAAGAGCCTGTTTCATGTTAGTGAGCTGAGATTCTTAGCTCATGGGTCCCATCACTGAAAGTCAAGGCCTCAGCCATCTGGCCGTAAAGGCTGTCGTGTGGGTAAGTGCTCTCACAGAAGGTGCCGTCTTTGTGACATGTGTTCACAGGTCTGAGAAGGAGCCGCAGTTTAAGTTTATCTACTTCAACCACATGAACTTGGCGGAGAAGAGTACAATTCACATGAGGAAGACGCCCAGTGTGTCACTGACGTCTGTTCACCCGGATCTAATGAAGATTCTAGGGGACATCAACAGTGATTTTACCAGGTAGTCCCACCACTCACGTTAGCTGCCCTTTTCTAGGAAGAGATATTGAAGGCTTTGTTTTCAAAACTTAGTGACCCGCAGCCCCTCATGCCCACCACTTCCAGACACACCCCACACCCAGAAGTCCTGTCCACTCCCATTCGACACCTCAAGCTTTGGGAACAACCATCCCTATCCTGTTCCTTCCTCTGGAATGTTGGGTTTTTTCCTCACTGTCTGGCTGTGTGTGTAATAAACACGCCTTCTCAAACTCCTGTCTTACAGAGCAGATGAAGACGAAGAAATCATCGTGAAAGCCATGAGTGATTATTGGGTGGTTGGGAAAAAGTCGGATCAGCGGGAGCTGTATGTTATTTTGAATCAAAAAAATGCAAACCTGATTGAAGTCAATGGTAAATAGTATTTGATATTTGAATAGAATTTGAGTGGTACTGTTTTGTTTTTTGTTGAACACCTTAGTATATCAAGAAGCATGATAAACAGACATTTGACTTGAACTTTTAACCAGATGCCTGCATTGCACATTTTTCTATCCCCTGTAGTGCAAGAAATAGTGGTGAAAATTATTTTCTGTAATGCTAAGAAACTCCCATGGCTTTGCGTGCTGTGTTTTAAAACGAGCTTTTTGTGTCCTGCGGTGGAAGTGCTTCTGTGTAGAGAGGCTGGATTCGTGTGCCAGTTCCCGCTGTGTGCGTCTGTGTGTTATGGGTGCGGTGCACAGGTTTCCTCCACCTTTGGCCAGAGTGGCTGTGCTGGTCTTCAGTGCGGCCCACAGCTGCTTCTGGGGGTCCTGAGGACCATTGCCCCAGGAAAAGGGTGGTGGTTGGGCCACTTTGCTGCTCTTATTTTGACCTGGAGCAATAGCCTGCAGGTGGGGGAGATGCACCCCACAAGCAGGCAATAAGGAAAGGGAGGGGTTTTTCTCTCATCATGTTCTAGGGCCTATTAAATTTTTCTCTTTTTATGAGTAGTTGTATTGGTATTTGTATGCATTAAAAACATCAGCAGTAGGGGCTGGGGATTTAGCTCAATGGCATAAGCACCTGCCTTGCAAGCAGGTGGTCATGAGTTCAATCCCCCGTACCAATAAAAAAAAAAAAAAAATCAGCAGTACATGTGTAATTTAAAATGAGAATTTAAGCTGAGTTTAGTGGCTCTTACCTGTAATCCTAGCACTCAGAGAGACTTAAGGCAGGAGGATCAAAAGTTTGAGACCAGCCTAGGGAAAGATAGGGTATGTAGCTTGATGTGAAGGCCCTAGGTTCACACCCCAGTACTAAAAAATAAAATGTGTATTTTGTAAAATCCAGATGATACCTCTGTGGAGCACTTGATCCAGCTTAAGACTGGGTCTAGAGTTTCTGTGATGCCCACAGGATTTCTCAGGCTTGACCGTATCTTTGATGTTGCAGCCCTAAACCCCAGCCTGGGGCCTCTCAGGTACAGGACTCTTCTCACCAGACTGTTTCTCAGGCCCATAGGAGCCGGGTTCCAGCATGTTGGGGAGTACTGAGGTCTTGTGTGTTAGGGATCTCCAAACCCAAATTTTTTTTTTTTGCCTAGGCTTCTAGAATTTCAAGTCAAAATCAACACAAACATTTGATTCCCAACTTTGTTCCCGAAGAATTTAAAGTACTAATGTGTATGTATTATGTAACCTTTTAAGTAAAAAGTCTCTATTGTTTATATACTGTTTTCTGTTCTCTTTGCAGAAGAAGTTAAAAAACTTTGTGCCACGCAGTTCAATAACATCTTCTTCCTGGATTGACTGACAACGGCTCACCAAAAACATCTTTTAAAAAACTCAGCGGACATTTTGTTTACCATTGCAAGTTATTGGTCATATTATTGACTGGATTAATGACAATAGTAAAGCAATACTTGCTTTGAAGAATCAAATTTCTACTCAGTCTGATGATCCCTTGGGGTTTTTAGATTTTAAATATTTATGTGGAATTGATTAAAGATAGTTGGCTATATATCATTTCATTCTTTTGACATTATGTGAATATTTTACTGGAAAATAAGACTAATAAATTCTTTAAAAGTTTTTAAAATTCTGGTTTTGCAGTGAGTCTCTTTTGGTGCTGATTTGTAGTCTACGCCTCTGGGTTCCTGGCTCATGCCCTGGGGATTTAAAGCTCAGCGTTTGGTTAGAGCTGGAGGAGAGGGTTTTCCTTTCCTCATTCCCAGACCACAGAAACAGGCATTCACCGAAGAATTGCTAGAGCTGACTTTTACCTTAATTGTGTTAGCTGAGACTTTTAGACCACATCTACTGCAGAAAACTCAAACTACCTAGGGTAGAAACAGAAAGGTTCCTCACTGTCACGGGGACTCCTGGGGGCCACAGTGCTGTACGCCTCCTCACAGCAGATGAATGCTGAATTTTACTTCACCTGAGTTTTGGTGTGGGTGAAATACGACTATACGGTCCCTTTAATCTGTGTGGGCCTTTATGTTAGGGAAAAGGAGCAGCTTCAGTGTGTATAGTATTTTCACTGGTCCTAAATAATTTTGGGTTTCCATTATGATTTCGTCTTTGTCTTATGATTGCAGAGTTTTCATTTGCTTGGCTGATTTTGTTTTTGTTTTATAGTACTCAGCCTTCACACTGAGCTACATTCCTTTTTTTTTTTTTTTTTGGGTACCAAGGTCGAACTCGACCTCATGGCTGCCAGGCAAGTGTTTGTACCACTGACCTAAGTTCCCGGCACACCCAGTCACTTTATAATTTTTTGAGACTGCGCCTTTAAGGTGTTGAGTTACCCAGGCTAGGTCTGAACCTGTGATTCTCCTGCCTCAGCCTCCCAAAGGGCCTAGATTGCAGGGGCATGCCATCACACCAGTTTAAAGCTGCAGTTGAGCTTTGTTTATTATGTGCATTTTCTGCAACCTCGGCTACTGCTTGGATTTATGATCCATGATACAGCATTTGCATGAGTACTTTTTAACCTAGAATGTGTTCGTCAGTGTTTCTTCCCTGTTGCATTCGGCTCCTGTAAAAAGTATATACTCATACTTTTGAGCTTTGTTGCTTACATTATCTGTGCCTTTGCTACGTCTCCTGCTGTCTTTCCCGACATGATGGCAGCTCCCCCTGGATCCTGTCAGCTCTGCATGGCTGGTGAAATGTGTGTGCAATGCTGCTCCTTTTACCATTATCTTAATTTTCATGTGGTGCAGGTGTTTGCTTTGTCTATAATATTACTTGCTATTCCAGTCAGCTCCTGACACATCAATGCATCTTGTATTTACTTTCCTCCCATGTGATTTTAAAATACTTCCCTTGTCAGGTATGGTGGCACGTGCCTGTAATCCCAGCACTTGGGAGGCTGAGGCAGGAGGATTGCTGCAAGTTCAAGACCAGCCTGGGCTACAAAGTGAATTGAAGGCCAGCCTGAACTGCATAGTGAGAGCCTGTTACAAAAGACCAAAAATAAAATACAAGAAAAGGTTTCCCTTGGAAAGAATGACAGTGGCTCATTTTGTTTTCCTAGTGCCACGTAGTCATCTCTGAGGGAGCAGGAAGCATGTTTCATCTGCTCGCTTTGGTGCTGACTGGTGTACGTGCACTTTACCATCTTGTGTGTTCCTGTTCACATCCCTTTCCATGGTCATCTGTCCCTCTAGCTTTCCATCGGATTGATGATTTCCTATATCCCTACTGTGAGAGTGGAAGTCTTGGATTACGTTCTTATTCTTTTGGGGGTTGCCCTTAAACTTTCATATACATTATTAACTATAAAATTTTCCAGCTGAGAGTTAAAGTGTTCTTTGAACCACCCACTGACCACCTGCTCCTTATCTTCTTGCTACCTAGAGTTGCTGCTGGGTGGCAGTTTTCTAAGGGGACAGAGTGCTGCAGGCACTGGTGGACAAGGAGCAGGGAAGAGGCCACGTGAGGTGGCATGCGAGGGACACAGGTGGTTACAGGACACAGAAGGAAAAAGCATCTGAAGAAACATTTTAATTCCTCCAATGCTGCGCTAACTCTGATCTGTTTGATCAGTCTAAATTTAATCACTACTTCACTGTGATTTTTTTAAACATTTAATGCACAGTCATTAATGTGCATATGTGTGTGGGTTCATGCGGGCTTTTTAGCGATTGGCTGAGTGAGACACTCAGATGCAGCGGACCAATCGGACCACAGGCAGCAGAGGTAACATCCAGTTTTCTCATGGGTCTGAGCTGTTACGTTTGCTGATCCTCAAGGCCAGGCTGCAGCACTGAGTGCCTTTACTTCTTCTTCTTCTTGCTCGGGGTGGACTTGGTGGTCTGGGATATAGCCGAGTCCTCTTTGAGAGGGCTCGGCATGCGGGGTGGGAATGAGGTCGGGAAGTCCATGGACTCCTGGAGGACAGTGATGTCGATGTTCTCCAGGTCTTGCTTCTTGGCCTCTTCCTCCCTTAGGATACTCAGCCTAAGGGGCAAAAATGAGAAGGTAACCATTTTTTTTTTTTTGAAATTCCAAAACCAGCTGTTAGCTGGTAAGTAAGATCATTCACTCCTGTATTTCACCAGTGCTTGTGAGCAAAACTGGTGCTTGTGAGCAAATCGCCATCACTGTGCCTCAATAAATGAGTGAAGCCCTCAGTTTTCGTGTCTGGGGTAATCTGTGCAGCACTCTGGTCTTGTGAGAGGCCTCTGGGATAATCGCCTCTGCACAGAGCCACATTTTATGCAGATGGCCAGGGCAGGGGTCTGTGCTGGGATCCACATGGCCACACAAAGCTGAGCCTCTGAGGTGACTCTGCAAAGGTGAGCTCACATTTTTGGGGGCTGTGTCCGAGTCCTGTGTCTGACACCTGACAAACCCCATGAGGTGTCACTTTATTGGACAGGTGAACAGATGCAGTGTGAAGACCCTGCCTGGGATCCTGTATGTCCAAGTGGCAGGGCTGGATTTCAGCCTGGACAGACTTGGTCTGGGGGCTGTGCTCTTGGCCACACTTCCTGTTTTGTCTCCATTTGAGCTTCCAGGAAGGATGCACTCACTGCCTAGACACTGAGCACAGCCCTGGCAGCCACAGTGCCCACAAGCTCTTGGGACCAGGTGAGAAATAATTCCCCCACATTCATCTGACAGATGCCACAAGGGTTTTTTCTGCCCACACCCAGTGGGGCATCCACATTCCATTCACTTGGATGCAGGCTACCTGGGGTTAACACAAACCCCACTAGGCCACCCTACCTCAAATTCTAGTGACAAGTCTACGCCTCACAAGTGGATTGAAAGTGCCTGTAGAGCCGGGCATGGTGGCTCATGCCTGTAATCCCAGCACTGGAGAGGCTGAGGTGGGAGGATCATTGTGAGTTCAAGACCAGCTTGGGCTACAAAGTGAGCTCGAGGCCAGCCTGAACTGCATAGCAAGACCCTGTCTCAAAAAGACCAAAAAAAAAAAAAAAAAAAAAAGAAAGTGCCTGTAAACCCCACCTCAGGTTCCATATGATAGGATGGCTCACAGAACTCAGGAGAACATATTTACTGGTTTATTTTAAAACTATATTATAAAGAATAAAAAAGCTAGGGGTAGTGGTACACACCTGTAATTTCAGCATTCTGGGAGGCGGAGGCAGGAGGATAGAAAGTTTGAAGCCTGTCTGGGCAATTTAGTGACTTAGACTCTATTGCAAAAAGGGCTGGAGATGTAGCTTAGTGTGAAAGCCTAAGTTCAACCCACTGTACAAAACAAAACCACCACCACCAAAAAACCAGCCCTCTCTAAAGATACAAAGAATAAAGTCCAGAAAAGTCCCAGCATGGCGGATTCGGTCCTTGCTCAGTTTGGGCAGCTTCCCTCTGTTCGTCAGCCTAGGAACTCTTCAGCCACAGCCACCGCTCAGTGTTTGTGTAGCCATGACTGATGAAATCATTGGCTAGTAATAAAAGAGCCTGCAGCCAGCCCTCCCCCAGTGGTCAAGGGGTGAAGTGAAAAGTCCCAACTCTAAGCACACAGCTAGGTCCTTGGGCAACCAGCCTTTCCCCTCCACTACCTGATGCAAAGTGATCTAGGGGCCCACTACTGTCATCTGATTGTCTATTAGTGTAGACACTCTTGTCCCTCCAAAGGCTAAAGGATTTGAGAAGCCCTGGTATCTGGAACGGGCGGCCACTAAGACCCAATATTACAAGAAAAGATGCTCTAAAGGCTTGGGATGCTATGGTGGGAGCAGAAGCCAGACACTGTTTGGTTTATTTGTTTTGAAGGATTGGATCCAGCCCTTCTTTATTTTTTATTTTGAGACAGTCTTCCTGAGTCACTAAGTCACTGAGGTGGGGCTCAAACTTGCAGTCCTGCGTCAGCCCCCTAGAGTGCTGGGATGACAGGCTGTATTTGTTCTCAGGTCTCAGACACTGTCCTGATGCTGCTGATGGAAGCACAGAAGCCAGCTGGCACTGCAGCGGAGGAGGGGCGCCTGACACCCTACCTTGCTTCCAGCTCTTCGTTCTCCGCCTTCCTCTGCTGAACCAGTGCTGCCTCCTGTACGCGGTGCTCCTTCACCTTCTCCTCGAGCATTTGCTGGTGTTTGTAAGCTTGGAAGAAGGTGTGCATAAAGAAGGCATGCATGTTATTGTCCCACGTGGTGAGCTTCTCCTTCTGGTCCTCCTTGGGCTTCTCGTATTTCTCTGAAATGAAGTTGCATCAGAATGAGCAGGGACGCAGTCCTGCCATGCATAAGGAGGCTTTTCTCAGGCTGTTTGGCACAGTTGGGGTGGCGGGCTGGGTCTCTAGCCCCATGTGGGGCCAGGGGCAGAGAGGACAGGAGGTCCTGCAGAACCTAGGCAGCCACGTGGAGCAAACAGGGTGTGCGGTGGATGTGGCTGTCTTGGAGTCCTTATCTTTCTTCCTAAATAGTTTAAGTATTTTGGTTTCTGAAATGAAAGTATCAGAAGCTTTGTCTTTCATGTATTGGGGAAAAACCCCTCTTGTTTCTTGCTTACATGGTCTTTGGAGAGATTTGAACTCCAAGCTGAGTAAGAAGGTAAGTAGCTTCTGTCCCTACCAGGGCTGCTCCACTAGAGGAAGTGAGATCAGGTGCCGTGGGAAGGTGGGGTCTGAATGGATCCCCACTGTCCACCTTCCACTGCAGGAGCCCATGTGATGGCTCCGAGTGAAAGAGCAGGAAGAGGGGTGTTCAGAGACTAACGGAGACCTGCATGAGTGCCTCCTACGGCCGGGCAGGCTCAGGCATAGAGGTGCGGGTGCAAGTCATGGAGACAGCTTCAGGGATGGCGCTCAAGCGTCCTCCGCAGCCTCTGCTCCCTACAGCTGTGCCGCTCCCTAGCAAGCCTAGTGGGGTAGCAACTGTGCCCAGTGTCTTCCTCTGCTGAGCGGAAGCCGAGACAGTTCAGCCTCAGACATGGCATGAAGGTTGGATCCATCAGTGCGCAGAAACTCTGAGCTTCCCACACACAGCAGGCGCTCAAGGAGACAAGGATGGAATAGACTGACACAGATTTGCAAGGCTGAAAATCTTTTAGGAGAGGGAGTTTATCGAGTGTGAATCCTAACTATTGAAGACAAGCTTGTCTATTGTATAAAACAGTAGATTTGTACAAAAACATATTTATTAGGGACCTGTTACGTGCAAGACCCTGTTCAACACCGCAGGAAATTCAGCAAACAAAAATACCTGTCTTTCATAGTGTCAAAATGTCCTTGAAATTTCGTGCACATCCTAATAGCTTATTTCTGTACTGTTTTTTGGAAAGACTGAACCACTTTCTTAGTCCCACCTGCAATGCATGATTGAAAATACTTTTCTTTCTTATCACTACTGTAACCACCATTACTTTTTTTTTTCTTTCAGTACAGGGGATTGAACCCAGGATCTTTCCACTGAGCTACATCCTCAGTCCTTTTTTTTATTTTGACACAACCTTTTCCAAGTTGGCCAGGCAGGACTCAAACTTGGCAGTCCTCCTGCCTCGGCCTCCCACAATACTGGGATTACAGGCATGTGCCACCACACCTAGCCCATCTTCTTTGACAATCTTTTATTTTGCTGTTTTAATTTTAATTTCCCAGGTTAGTGAAATTAAGCATTTCTTCAAGTACATTCGCAAGTCACTTAGGTTTTGTGAAAAGACTTTTCCCTGTTTTTTATCTTTCTTTATTCTTACTATTTCAAGAATATTACTCTTTCTCAGCTTTTTCTCAGTTAGACTTTAAATTTTGTTCTTGGTTCTTTTATCAAAAACTGATTTTTTTTTTTAATCGGCACCAGGGATCAAACCTCATGACTATGCCACTTGCAAGGCAGGTGTTTGTGCCACTGAGCTAAATCCCCAGCCCGCTCAAAAACTGATTCTTAAGCAGTTTTTTTTTTTTTTTTTTGTCTTTTTCCTTTTTATCGGTACAGGGGATCGAACTCATGACTGCCTGCTTGCAAGGCAGGCGCTTATGCCGCTGAACTAAATCCCCAGCCCCACCACGTTAAGTTTTTACACTTTTTTTTAAAACTGGGGATTGAACTCACGACCTCACACTTGCCAAGCAGGTGCTGTGCTGCTGAGCTATATCCTCACTTAAGTAGTTAGTTTTAACAATGTTTTTCTTTATAGTTTTTACCTTGGTTTTTATACTTACAAAGGACTTTTCAACACTCAGTGTCAAGGTTTATGTCTGTGGCCCCCAGGCCTCATGAGTTTGCATTGTTCATTTGTGATGCTTCATTGTCTAGTGCTTGGATTGATGGTGTCAATGCTCCTCCCACAAAGGGGTGGAGCCAGGATGTGATGTAATGGCAGGAAGAAGGTGTGTCTTGCTCTTTGCTGGTTCCCGCTTGTTGTTTGCAGCCGCCATGAACAGCGGCCCAGCCATGCCCGCCTGCCTTGGAGCCAACTGAATGTGGACTGAAACCTCCAAAAACTGTAAGAAATAAACCTTTCTTTCCCCAGTTTGGGCTTCAGGTATTTTGTCTCAGCAACGAGTAAAAAGTAACTAAGATACTCAGTATATAAATTTCACCTGTATACGTTCAATTCTTATGGTTCTGAATTTTACTGTAACAAGTCTTTAATCCATCTGAATCTTTTTTCCAAACTTCGCCAAATCCAGTACTATTTATAAAGCAATACGCCTTTACTAGAAGTAAACCTTATTACATATGAAATACTTATGTTTGTGTTTACCATGGTCTATTTCTTGCCAGAACTAGTTTGTAGCTCTATATTTTCAGTATGTTTTAATATCTAAAACTAAAATTATTCTCTTGATTTTTTACTTTTCCCAGATGAACACTACAATAATTTAGTCAAATCCATAAAACTCCTGGGATTGGGATTAGTTGGAGTTGGAATCATTATTTTGGAGTTGGAGCAAAATAAAAGATTGTCAGAGAAGATGGTGCTAGGTGTGGTGGCACATGCCTGTAATCCCTGTACTGTGGGAGGCTGAGGCAGGAGGACTGCCAAGTTTGAGTCCTGCTGGCCAACTTGGAGTTGGTGCATTATTTTGGGGAGAGTCGCTATAGTACTGAGCATTGCCAGGGGAGTGGGATCCCTGTCCATTCTTTTCTAAGACCTGTAAAGTTCAGTACTTTGGCTTTTTCAATTGTCAATTGACAAATATATATAACCTTTTCTTCATATGTTGGCCCTCTCCATATATATATATATATATATATATATATATATATATATATATACATACACACACACACACACACAGAATGTATAAAATTTCCTGCTACATTTTATTATAAAATTTCTCTTGGTATTGCAGTTCTGGCCATTCCCCAGGTTTACCGATATCCTATCAATATGTACAAATTCTAAGTCTCTTCAGTGGATGGGCATGTTCTCAACGTAGAGATTTTAGTATTTGTCTTGCTGCTTTAGGGTCTTTTAGGGAATTCCTACAATGTTAAGTGTTTTTTGTTTTGTTTTGTGTTACCGAGTTTTCATTTCTGTTACTTTCTCTTGGTATCTTTTTTTTCTGTTTGACTTCTGAATGTTCCTTTTCAGTTTCTTGCCTCATTTAAGAAAGATGCTTGTAAAGTTTCACAGCCCATGTATAAGCTATAACCAATCATTTGTAAATATTACAGTTCTCCAGTTAAAATACTCACCATTTTCACATGCAAAAGCCATACCTTTTTCTGCGGGTTTAGAATTCATTTTGGAACTTTTGTCATCACAGAGAAACTTCTTGATCTGAGGCTTTGGCATTTTTAAAAAAAAATGATAAAGCAAAGTATTACTTTAATCAATATGGACTAAAAGTAGTTTTTGTTTTTTTTTAACATTGTAAATAATTAGAAAATAGAGGCTTTCCTCTTTGAGCTAACTTATTTTAAACCTGCATCAAATATTGAGATTTGTATTATTACAGAGAGAAATAACAGTTACTGCATCTACTGAGAGAGTGTTTCCCCCACCAAAACCAAAATCCCCAAAATTTTCAAAAGCCTCCCTGGGTCTGCTGGGAGACCATTTATCATATATGACAAACCAAACCTGCATTCACACATTCCTGGCTGCATGATCATATTTATGCTGTGGTGCCCGCTGTCCTCAGCTGGAGCTCTCCTGACTCAGCTCTGTCCTGCCCGGCCACTTCCCATCACCACTCCATGCCTCCTGGGCACTCATGCATGCCCAGAACCTGCACCTTAGTTCTGTTCTGGACCCTCATCCCTGTCCCCACCCCGGCCTGTCCTCATCCTAGTAAGTAGCAGCTCTGCTTCTCTGGCTGCTCAGGACCAACACTGCCCTGGAGTCACGGCCTGGCGCCAGCCCCCACCACGATGCTCACTGGCTGTGACCCCAGACACTGAGGGAACTGGTCTGACCTGGTCCCCTCCAGAGCTCATGGGGCACTCCGTGAGGGCCGTGCCCTCATCAGTGTGTGAAGCCCCCGGGAGGCAGGTGCTTCCTGCTGCTGGGCACACAGCTGTGCACAAACTCTCTCTTTCTTTTCTGTTTTTGCTTTGTTTTTTAGTGGTGCTGAACCCAGGCCTTACACCTTGAGCTACATCCCTAGCTATATATATATTATTTTGGTATTGAAACCATCGAGGGATTGAATTCATGACCTCGTGCTTGCTAGGCAAGCGCTTAAGCCACTGAGCTAAATCCCCAGGCCCATTTTTTAGTCTGAGACAGGATCTCACTAAATTACTCAAGCTGAGCTCAAACTGAGCAGCCCTCCTGCTTTAGCATCCCTGCGTGCTGGTATTACAAGCCTGCGCCATCCCATGCCTGCAGAAGAGCTCTCTTGACATGACAGGTACCTCGTAGTGTTCCCCACTGCGACTGTCACCTAACTGCCACGGCAGGCCGTAAGCACAAACCTCAAATTTCCCTACTTTAGAATCAGACGCGAGTCCTAACTTGCTTGAAGAAGACTTGGTGCGGGTGAAGTGAATGATGTCCGACTCTTGGCTTCTGACTGCACTCGAAGTCTTGATCGGGGCGCTCTAAGCGAGGGCAAGCACAGACAGTGAGTGGCTCCCACCAGGTGCACGCCTGTCTGCGCACACAGACGCACATTTCTTTCCTGAGGTGTAACTGGTGTAAGGAAAACTCCACACGAAGCGTACTGTGTGGTGAGTTTGGACATGTCTACACTTGTGAAATCGTCAGCTAAGACAGTGAACATAGCCGGCGTGGTAGTGCAGGCCTATAATCCCAGCCGTCAGCAAGGCTGAGGCAAGAGGATTCTCAAAAAGTAAAAAGGGCTGGGGCTGTCCCTCAGTCCAAGGCCCTGCGTTCAGTCCTCAGCCCCAGACACACACAAAAGCATACAGTAAATGTATCACCTTCCCTACCTCATGCCTGTATATATTATATGTTCCTTCATATATTATAAACTCATGAACAGTGTTATCCTGGTAACAACTGGTTTGCTATCAGCACACACTGCAGTTTCCAGGATTTTATAAAAACATGATCAGGCACTGCACATCCTTTCTTGCCCGGATTCTTTCACCTGGCCTCACGGCTTTTAGAGTCACACATACGTTGTACAGGAATCACAGGTGACTTTTTTCCTAAGCTGTCCTCCCCTGTGTGGTTATAATATGATCTCTTCATCTTGGTGGACTGTGTACAGATTGACTTTTGGATTTGTTTTATGACCCAGGATAAGGTCTATCTTGGTAAATATTTCACATGTACTAGAAAATAGTGAGGATTCTGCAGCTGGCATTTGGATAAGGTTGCTTCATAGTGTTATTAAATTTGATGTTTACTACTTGCTTTATTAATTATGGGGAGCAGGGTTGAATCTCTAATTATGGACTTGTCTATTTTCTCTTCCTTTTTATCAGTTTCCACATGTACTTTGAAGCTTACCCATTTAAATTTATGTCCTTTTACTTAACTGAGCACTTTATCATCATGAAATGATACCGTCCCTGTAAAATCCTTTACTCTGAGACCTTTCTTTGCCTAATATTGATGTGCGGTATAGCACTTTCTACACTTTTTTCACCTGTCTTTGTCTTTATATTTGAAATGGGTTCATTGCAAACATTTTTTAAAGGAAAAAAAGACAAAACAATAAAACAGATTGCAAAATTATCCTCTAAATAGAAGTTCAGGGGCTGGGGATTTAGCTCAGCGGCATAAGCACCTGCCTGGCAAGCAGGCAGTCGTGAGTTCAATCCCTGGTACCAATAAAAAGGAAAAAGACCAAAAAAAAAATGAAAAAGAAGTTCAGACTACTGGCTTTAGGCCTGCAAAGTCAAGCAAACAATATGAGCACAAAGTTGTTTTTTACTTCTGCTGCTGTCATCTCAGCCTGTGTTTCTCTGAATCAGCCAGTTGCTTGACGGCGGTGGGTCTCCTGTCCCAGCCTGTGCGCCAGCTGGCTCACAGGAAGGGGTTAGTTTCTTGGTTCTCCTCTCAGCCCGCATCTATTCTAAACATTTGATAAGTTTTTACTTTTAAATATCTGACAACCTATGCTTTACTGGGGATGTGTACAACCTTTGGGCTGTTATCCTTCACATACTATAAACCTCATGAACATTGTTGTCCTTAAACAATAAACTACCTTCTAAGGATTTTTTAAAAAATTTAAGCCAGGCATGGTAGCATACATATAATAATCCCAGCATTCTGGGAGCCTGAGGCATGAGGCTTGCAAATCTGAGGCCACTTGGGCAACTTAGCAACTTAGTGAGACCCTGTCTCAAGATAAAAAACAAAAAAACAAGACTGGAGATGTAGTTCAGTGTGAAGGCCCAGTACCTCAAAAAGTTAATTTATTCACAAAGTTACTATCCCAGGGTCCTTTTTCCTTTGAATGGATCTAGATTTCCATCCAGTGACATTTTCCTTTTGCTCAAAGAGCTTCCCTTCCTTTACTGTTCCTTGTTGTGGCTGATCTTCTGACACGGAACTCTTTAAGCTTTTGAAAGCCTGGGAATTCTTATCTCACCTTAGTTTCCTCTGTGTGTATGTAGTATTGGGGATTGAACCCACAGAGTCCTGAGCTACATCTCCAAGTGTTTTCTTTCCCAGTCTTCAAATCTATAGTTACTCCAATTTTAACCTTTGTTCTTAACAGTACGTGTTTGCAATACATGTACAGCCCTTTTATTATTTTATTATTTTAAGACTAAATTGCCCAGGCTGGCCTTGAACTCTGATCCTCCTGCCTCAGCCAGGATGTAGTGGGGATTACAGGCACGCACTTGTGTGCCTGGCTCTTCATTTTTTACACTGCGGGACAATAAACATAAAACTTACTATCTGAGCCATATTTAGTTGCACTGTGGCACTGCGTACGTTCATAGCTATATAATCCCCTTTGTTGCAGTGAGCAACGGCACGTGTTAGAGAGGACAAAACAGATTATTTGGAGGTGACACTTGGTTCAGTCACCAAGAGCCCCAGAGGGACTACTCTAAACAGAGAGCACCTATCCATGAGGGAGGCTCTAGAGAAGAAAAAGCCATCAAGCTGAGAATGCTCTGGCTTTTATTTAGAGTACCAGTGTAAGAGGAAAAAGCAGGAGACAAGCAGCTTGGGGTAGGAGCTGCCTCAAGGCTAAGCAGCTTTTTTGGGGAAAGTGGTAAGACAATAACCAGACACAACATGCCTCACTAATCTAAAGTTTTTGTTGTTTAACCATTTGATTATCACACAGCCTGTGTGCCTTTTTTCTTTCTTCCTTTCTTTCTTTTTGAGACAGGGTCCCACAGTGCATGGAAGCTGGCCCTGAGCTCACTTTGTAGCCCAGGCTGGTCTTGAACTTGCAACAGTCCTCCTGCCTCAGCCTCCCAAGTGCTGGCATTACAGGCGTGAGCACCACACAGCCAGCCTGTGGGCTTTTGCCCCCCGGTTTAATTATTTACTTCTCATAGGCCTGCATGCTTTTGCCTCGTGTTTAATGACTTGTGTGCTCTTGTCCTGCAGTTTAACCATTCATTCCTACAAGTCCCCTGTGACCATCAGCTTTCATCTACAGAACTCTTTTCATCCTGCTGAACTGAAACTATTAAACAATAACTCCCTGCTTTTCCTCCCTCCAGCCCCTGGTCAACCACGTTCTACTTTGTATCCCTATGATACAAAGTATTCAGTTCAGTATTCTAGGGACCCCACAAGTGGAATCACAGTGGTATCCTTTTGTGACCAGTTTATATCACTTATCATTAATGTCCCCAGGTTCATCCATGTGAAAGCATGTGTCAAAATTCTTTCCTTTCTGAGGCTTGGTAATATCCCATGATGTATGTACCGCATTTTGCTCATTCCATGCATTTGTATGGACATCAGTGATGTTTCCGTAGTTTAGCTATTATGAACGCTGCCGCTATGACCTCGGGTGTATAAAGTACCCTTCAAGACCCTACTTTCAACTCTTTTGGGTGTACAGTGACATCTTGGTTCAGGAACTTAGTTCATTCCACGATTCTGGAAAAGATGGCCGTGGTCATGTCCATCACCGGATGAAGAGTTCATAAACAGAAACAAAACATGCCAAACACTTCTGTTTGTAAACCAAACTGTTCACAAACAAAAGCGTTCTTGAACTGAGGTCCTGCTGTATAGCTGAAAACAGAATTGCTGTTTGCATTAGACATTTTTCTATCACTGTCACAAAATACTGGACGCCTGCAATAGAGGAGAGATTTATGTTGGTTCATGGTTTCATGGGGTTCAGCCAGCTGATTCCACGGCGGAAATGGCATGCCAGAGGAAGGCTGCTCACCCCGTGGCAGCCAGGAAGCAGAGAGAGAAGGGAGGCGCTGGAGACAATGAGCCTTGCAGCTGCTGGCCCCTAGTGATCACTTCCAGCTCGGTCTCGACCCCAGCAGCACATTCAGCTCTGAACTCCTCAGGGATGAGTACAGCGCCCACATGCTTCAGGCACCTAAGGACTTCTGAGGCCACTTTAGATCTAAACCGTAGCACTATTTCCCACAATGGCTGAGCCAGTTTACATCCCCCACAATTATTCTCCAAGATTTCAGTCTCCCTGCCCTCTCACTAACACTTACCATTCTGTCTTCCTCCTGTTAGCAGCCCTATCAATAGGCACGAGACAGTTGCACTGTGCATTCGATTTGCATTTCCTGGTGACCCGTTATGCTGAGCATCTTCGCCTGTGCTCTTTTGGCCATCTGTGTGCTTTCTTTGGAGAAATGTGTATTCAGGACTCTGCACATTTTCACCTGGGCTAGTCTGCTGTTGTTTTAGGGGTGCTGTGTGTGTTCTGTGCCTTAATCCTTATCAGATACATGGTCTCCACCATCAGCTGACAGTGCCCTTTGATGCGGAGAAGTTTTTATTGTAAACCACTTAGAGGTTAACTTTTATTATCTGTCTGTCTGATCACATCCTTTCACCAGTGATCTTTTCTTTATGATCTCTTGCAGGATAAGCCTAGTGGGAATTCATTCCCCACTTCTTCTTATGAATGTCTCCATTTCTCCCTAACTTTTAAACGTCAGTTTTGCTAACTATAGGATTTTTAGTTAAGACGGTTTTTTTTTCTGGTATTATTTTAAATATATGAGTATATTGGCCTTCAATGTTGCTAAGAAATCTGATAATCTTTTTTTTTTTTTTTTTTTTGACCATGAATCGAACTCTCAGCCTCATGCTTGCCAGTCAGGCACTGTGCACCTGAGCTGCCACCCCAGCAATCTTTTTGTTTTTCACATTGACTAAAAATTGAGCTCAGGGCTTTTTTATCCCTGAGCCTGTGCGTTTGTTTGTTTGTTTGTTTCCTCCGGGCCTGTGTTTTGAGAAAGAGTCATGTTAATTTACTAAATTACCTAGTCTGTGCTTGAACATGCAGTCTTCCTGCCTCGGCCTCCTGGAGCACTGGGATTACAAGCATGTGCCACCACACCTGACTAGAAACCTGAAAATCTTACTAGCCGTCCCTTGTATCTGACAAGTCACTTTTCTCTTGATGCTTTCAGGATTCTCTTTATCTTTCAACAACTTAATTATAATA